TCAAAATCAAAATCAAAATCAAAATCAAAATCAAAATCAAAATCAAACAAGCGGTTTGAAAAATGCCTCAAGAAATAAACTCAAAGCAACTGCAGAGCCAGGAACTGGTTGTGACCAAGTACTCAGAACCTCTGATACTGAACGACCTACCAAGGGCTCTACCGATATTCACTGTTGGGTGTTAGTGTAATCTGAAAAGCTTTCAGGAGATAACATCCAAGCTGCGGAGTTATTATACAGAGTAAAACTGAATACGCACACAAGTGTCATTGCAGATCAAATGTCTTCCTTGCCGTGAACAGAGACGATCCGCTTATTTCTGGACAAAACTGGTTCTGTGCAGCTAGCGAATGCTGACTTAGCACTGGGATAGACAGGAGGACCAGCATGGGGGACAGACAGACAGTGCTGTGGCCTCCAGCAGTGCGCCAGCTGGAACTTCAGGGGAAGGACGGGGGTGTCCGGCTTGACCCCCCCGGGGGCTGTTCACTTCAGAGAAGCAAAGGAGACACTTCAGCACTGGAAGAACTTGCGCCCAGTACAGGCGCCCCTGCTGTGGCCTCTAAAATCTACTGTAAGGACCTGATCTGAAACGCAGAGGACCCGCAAGCAGAACTCAACACTACAGGGCTGTGTGGAGGGGTAACAACTTGAAATAACATAAGTGCCCTGTATGCGGGGATGGCAGTGAAGACCGTGGAACCCGGGGCGGGTGCCGTGTGACAGATGGGCGCGAGCTTTGTGCCAGATCAGAGTTCGAGTCCTGCTCTACACACGCTGCCCCTCTTCCCTGTAAGGTGGGGCTGCACTCTGTCTGGGCCGTGGAGGCGAACAAAGCTGAAAACAGAAATTATGACCCAGCGAGGGCCTGGCCGACGCCCCAGGGGTGACCTGCCCCCGTCTCCCCTCCAGGTTCATCTCTGTCAGGCAGCTGCTCAGAGGGCAGCCTGGCAAATGGACTCCAGACACGGGGCGTCCTCATCTATAAGGTCGCGTGTGAGCGTGTGTGTCTGAAACATGAAATACGAAGTTGTTTCTGAAAGGATTTGCAGCTTCTTAACAACTGTTTGAAAGAAAGGACTTGAAAATGTTCAAAGTGGTGTTCCTAGAATCATGGGTATTTTCCCTTTTTGGTTTTGCATCTTCTTTTTTTTAAATTTTTTTTTTTTAACATTTATTTATTTTTGAGACAGAGAGAGACAAAGCATGAACGGGGAAGGGTCAGAGAGAGAGGGAGACACAGAATCCGAAACAGGCTCCAGGCTCTGAGCAGTCAGCACAGAGCCCGATGCGGGGCTCAAACTCACGGACCGTGAGATCATGACCTGAGTCGAAGTCGGATGCCTAACCGACTGAGCCACCCAGGAGCCCCTGGTTTTGCATCTTCTAAGTGTTAGGCTGGGTGTGCATCTCTTCCCGCCTTGGAAAAACCTAAATGAGCCCCAGATATGGGATTCGGCACGAGTTCCCTTTTCCGCGAGAGTTCTGAGCACGAAGCCCGCACTTTGTGGGCCTTGGTTAACTTATCAACTGGCCAACAGCCTCTTACCTTCTCTAACAAAAACAACGCTTCTGCGGCCTCTGTGTGGCTGCCAGCCAACATGTCCACGTCCTCCTTGGTTATCACAGGCTCCTTCAGCTGCTCCACCCAAGACCACATTAAACTGCACAGGATGGAAGGGTCCCTTTCGCCACATATTCTTTCCCAAGCTCCGTCTCGTGAATTCAGTTCTTTCTAAAAAGAAGAGAAGAAAGAGGAAGAGAAAGAGGGAGAGGAAGGAGAGAAAGAGAGGGAGAAGGAGAGGAAGAATGAGAGGGAGAGGGAGAAGGAGAGGGAGAAAGGGGAGGGGAGGGATGGAGGACAGGGAGAAGGGTAAAAGGGGAGGGAGAGAGGGGGAGGGAGAGGGAGGGGAGAAGGGAGAAGGGGAGGGGAGAAGGGAAAAGGGGAGGGGAGAGGGAGAAGGGGAGGGGAGAGGGAGAAGGGGAGGGGGAGGGGAGGGGGAGGGGAGGGGGAG